AACAGTTACATTTCTTACAAACAAGTCTAACACAGTTCTCTAATACTGCGCATGTGAAGGTACAGGCGCTCAGGAAAGCACGCAGGTTGTCCAAGGGAGTACAGGGATTTTTAAGTGGACATGTTGCCAGAGACGTTGCACGTGACATAACAAATCCACCATACTTAGCCTTAATGCCTAAGCTCCTCAACTGCACATAAATTTACCCCCAAAAGGGTGCATTCCTCCCAGACACTCATAATACAGATACTCTCTCCAGGTTACACCTACGGACACACCCCGTAAGCCAGCTAGCAGGATACGGTGACTCATTCGTGTTGGAGTCGTCAGGTTCAATTCAAATCTACAAATAGGTACTCGATATGAACTGTGTGAAAGGAATCTGTCAGAGACAGAAAGGAAAAAGACACGACCCATGTTCTCAGGGGGAAGATGAATCTCATGAGCTGGCCCACTGGAGGGAAATGAACGCAACAGCAGAGTTACAGACGCATCACAATCACAACGGAGAAAGTAACCCGGAAGGGATCTGAGAGGGTGAGAGAATGCAGAAAGGACCGAGCGGTACCCGGCTCCTGCCAGGTGCTAGATGCTGTGGTGACAACTCTATAGTTGTCACATATCTTAGTCCCACGCCAGTCCCGGGAGGGGGAAAGGAGGCTGGGGTTGTGTGTGAACTTGTTCCGGTCACGCAGTTCAGTGACAAGATGACTACATCCAACTCCAGGTCTACTCATGTCCACTGTTCTCCCAAAGGCGTGAAGTGCACTGTGCGCTATTGGTGCGAACACGGCTGTGACCTTCTGAACTGAACACAAATGCTTCACTGTTAAATGGCTGCAGCTAACATTTTATCTTTTCTCTACCCAGTTTATAGATACCCTAAACCCAAATACATATCAAACGTCTGTAACAGCGAGCTTCCTCCTGCCCCAGTGACTTCATTGTTTAAAAGATTTTATTTTTATCCTGCCTCAATTCTTTCATTTTTAAAAAAAGATATGTATTGTGTGTGTGTGTGTGTGTGTGTGTGTGTGTGTATGTATGTGTGTGCAGGTACCCTCAGAGCCCAGAAGAGAGTACTAGATCCCTTGGAGCTACAGTTACAAGCAATTTTGAGTCAACTGACATGGTCCCTTGGTCCTCTGGAAGAGAAGAATGTGCTCTTAACCTCCAGCCCCAAACAACGCCTTCATCTGAAACCGTATTTGTAATCCTATCGGGGCATTGCTCTTGTACAGGATTTGCTTTTCTTCTTTCACTCCTTCAGACTGGGGACACCTGCTGCAGGCCCACATCCCCCCCACCCCCACCCCCATGCCCCTGCAGCCTCTAGTCCACCTTGTCCCTTCCAAGCAAGCCGCTTACCCAGAGCAGTGACGTAAGCCTTGGCAGAGTCGGGAACAGTATCCACAGGGAGCTCCAGGGAGACAGAGTCTGAAGCCACCTCTCCTGTGACCACAGAGAACAGGTGACATGGGTGGTGGAAATCATGGGATTCTGAGTCAAGTTCCGTGACCTAGGGTTTCCTATACCCAGTGTTCTCCGGAACTTTCTATGGGGTGGCATGCAGCTGTGTTTAAGGTGATTCATAGGGATTTTGCTGAATATAAATTTCAAGGAGTCCTACATGTGCTGCTTAGAATTTTCTTTTCTTTTTTTTTAAATCCCGCCTTTCAGTTCCTTGAATCCAGCAGGGGTAACAGCCTAGACTCCTGTTTCCCTTCTAGTTCCGCACACTTCTCTGCTTTGTTGCTTGGTTGGTTTGGTGACAAGGTCTCTCCCTGTGTGGCCCTGGCTAGCCTGGAACTCTAGTTTAGACCAAGTTGGCCTCAAACTTGTGGTGATCCTCCTGCCTCTGCACTCAGCTGGGATTACAGGTCGCACCACCACATTCAGCATAATCCTCCTTTTGTGTATGAAAATCACCTGTTGCCCAAGGGGCGTCTGCCCGGCCACCCTCTCACCTTTTGGACACAGCAATGAGCTGTGAGTCTTCTCCACTGGGACTCCTTCCGGCTGTATGATACAATGGGGTGAGCATCAGATGAAGAGCATGATGGGAACAGGAGCAGGAGGAAGGAAAGCGGCCCTGCCCGTGTTCCCACGCTTCCCTCGGAATTTTAGAGAAGGGAGATTTTCTTTGAAGCTTAGAAGGACCCTGTTTCAATCCAGGGATCGAATCCAGGCTCTTTCTGTAAACGTCTTTCCAGACACAGCCTACAGCTAGGGGAACCTTTAGAAAACTTTTTAGAAGCAAGGTTAACCATGGGGTTCATAACGAGTTAAAAAAGCAACTGATGAGGTCATGAATTTGAGGAAGGGAAGCTAACATTTATTTGACTCTTTGCCGCGGGCCTGGCATCACATTGAGCGCTTTCTCGGGCCACAGGTACGGGTTAGGCAAACGGCTAAGACAAGAGGGCCAAGGGAGGAGAAGGCAGAAGTTTCCAGACTGGAGGTAGAGCGTGAGGGCTGTGAAACTGACTGTCGGGGTGGGGCATCGAGCACCCTGTGTGGGTGTCGTCTCCACCTCTGACACCAAGCCCGAAAGACACTCACCTTGACAAGAACTGGCTTGATCAGAGTGTCGCTGCGGCCTCTGTTAGGGACAACCCCCTTCCGGCCCCGGCAGAGTTCATCGCTGTCTACAATCTCTGTACTAACAGTGAAGTTAACATGACCTGAGGGGAGACCAAGGAAGGGGAGTGTCACCATAACAACCAGAGGGGCCAGCAAGGCCTCTTCTCCTTCAGACTCTCAAGCTGGCGTGGCCCATCCATCACCGGGACCTTGTCGACCAGGGCAAGCTCTAGCTCCAAGGCCTGGGGTGCAGCCCGGATTCTGCACTTCTCAGGTATTCCTGGGTGATGCCGGCGATGAGGAGGCAGTGTGAAAGGTGACTTCTAAGGGTGCAGGAGCCCTGCGTTTTGATAATTATCTCCTTTGAGGTATGGGCTGGATTGAGTGACTCCATTGAGTAGGGTAGGGTGTTTGGTTTTTTTTGTAGTTTGGGTGCTGAGGGTGGAAGTAGGGACCTTGTGACACATTCTGGGCCATCACTCTGCCGTTGAGGCAGGTCCCCAGCCCAAGTGACTCGTGTTTAGTGAAGAGACAGAGCAGAAGCAATGGGTTAGCTCTTCCAAATGTTACACAAAGGCTCCAGGTTCTCCCCAGTGAGCAGACTTGCCAGCCATGTGCTCTGGAGAAGGACAGTTGCTCTGTGATGAAACAGCTCAGAGAAGACTCATGTGAGACGTGGGATGGGGGCTCCAGCCCACAGCTGAAGCTAAGATGTGGCGTTCGGATCATGAGCCTGCCAGAAACAGGGACTTGGAGGTGAACTGGAAAGCAGATCTTCTCTCAAATCTCCAGATAAGGCCATAGCCTTGGCTCGCAGCTTGATAGCATCATGACAGAATTCAGTGCCACATAAACCAGGTGTGGTCATGTGTGCCTATAATTCCAGCACTTGGGAGCTCGAGGCTTGGATCCAAAGTTCAAGACCATCCTCAGCTACACAGGAATTTGAAGCCAGCCCGGAATATATGTGACTGTGCATAAATAAATAAATGTTTGCTCTTCCAACCCACTAAGTTTTCCAATAGTGTGTAACTATTAAATCAAAGGCCATCTTTTGATTGCAGGGTTTTACTCCCTGAGAGACAGCCAGTGGGTTGGTATGAAGATTAAAGGAGTTAGTACAGGGGCTGGAAGGGTGGCTCAATGGTTAACATCTCCAGCTGCTCTTGTAGAGGACCCAGGTTCAGTTCCCAGCACCCGCATGGTGACTCACAACCATATATAACTCCAGTTCCCAACTGATGTCCCCTTCTGACCTCCACAGGCTCCTACATGCGCATGGCACATGGATATACACTTAGACACATACACATACACATACACACAAAATAAAAAAATATTTTCTAAAAATAGATTGGTACATTAAAGCAGTCAGCATAGTCCTTGTCCCACGGTGGGTCCTTGTCCTGTTATAATACCCAAAGCTCGCCTTTCGCACTCAGAATATTCTAGATTGGATACAGTTGATCGTCTCTTTGAGCCTTCCCTTATTTACCCATCACACAGGCTCAGAAGGGAAAGGGTAGAGGCAAATAAAAAGGAGGAAAGCAGAGACAAGCAAACGCAACAGGAAAGCACAGGTCTTGGCTCCTGTTGGCTTCCGGGCCATTATTCCTCTCTCACCCAGCTTGACAGCGGTGATATCCCAGTGGAAGGTCTTGGCTTCCTCAGCACACAGGCAGCTGGAGGCCTGACCATCTGCCCGTGACTCTACACGGTACTCATCTGACAGGCCCAGGTGAGTCTGAATCTGAAGGATTAAAGACATAAAAGGTCTGAGAGTGGACCGTGATAGTGCAGGCCTGGAAACCCTAAGGCCTGGGAAGGCTGAGGCGGGAGCTTGAGTCCAAGTCCGCTTTGGGCCACAGAGGGAGTTCAAGGCCAGTGGAAGCAACTTTGTGAGACTCTTCCTCAACAATAAAAAGTAAAAAGGCTTTTACTGGGAGGTGGGAACGGGGTGAGAGAGGATAACGGGAGGTGGGAATGACCAATGATTCGTGTATGGAATTGTCAAAGAATGAACATGTAAATAAATAAAAGGAGTGCTGGGACAGAGTAGCTCAGTGGTCGAGGATTTGGTTAAGGGGCTTGAAGCCATGTTTCAACTCACAGTATGAAGGAGGGAAAGAGGGGGGTGGGAGGGGAGGGGTGGGGACAGAGGAAAGGGTGATCTAGGGACTCAGGGCCTGTAACAGCAGCAGGGCATCTCCCAGAGAAATTGGGTATGCTTCCAATTTAGGGATGGACTTGGAGTGGGCCTGAGGCTCCAGGCCACACTACTTCCGGCATCCCCGCTCTCACCCTGATGCAGTCCTTTAGGTAATTGAAGACGGTGGCTGTCAGGCGGAAGGATTCTCCACGAACGACTGAGTAAGGCATCATCAGATCAACAAAGAACGGCTGGAAAGCCGTCAGCCCAACAGTCGGCGAAAGGCCGAAGCCTCTGGACTGCGAGGTGCAGAATGTCATAGCCTTCCACTCAGTGATGGTATCGGGGACTGTGACCTGGACCACCTTGTTTCCTGAGTTACTGTGGACACAACAAGAACCCAAGTGAGGTGCGGGACCGGAGAGCATTAGAGAGAATTGATGGGCAAACGGAAAAGAAGAGGCTCCTGGATGTAAATCCTGGGGTGAGGGAGATGTCCAGATACGGGAGAAGGGGTGTCACGGTGCTTATGTGGCCCGTGGCTTGCAAAACTGGCGCGTAGTCAGTGGTTCTAAGCACCAGTGTATATTTGGGGCGAGCGCGCAGTCTGCACTACGTGGGTGTGAGGTCGGAGTTTGAGTGCTTGTTTTGGGACCCCGGGGGAGGAGTTCCTGACACGGAGATTTTCGAAATGACGACTCTGAATTTCCTGCAGACTCCACCGCATCACTTACCCGACCGGAAACAGTTCCCACAGCCAGGTCTCGGGGAAGTACTGGCGGACCTGGGAGCCCTCTGTCTGCGGCGATGGCGACGCGAACCCAGTCTTTGGGGCAATACCGCCACCTGCTGACGAGTCTGAGAAGAAACATTTGGAAACCGGAAAGCTGGCATTGTGAGACTGCTAAGTAAGAAACTCAGAGCAAGCCGGAGAACTCACACAAAGCAAAGGACCGCCGAGGAGAGGCGAGGTCAGAAGGGTCCCTGGGGAAGTCCGGCCAAGAGCTATGGCCAGAGAATGGACAGATAAGGGACCCAGGCTCCAAAGGCTCTTCCTGGAGAGACACGTCCTGCATCTCCGACCCAGTACCAATCTGAGGCCACGCTCAGTGCAAGGGCAGAGGAGGTTTCCAGGGTCCCAGGGCCCAGAGCTGCAGCTTACCTCCCTCCATGGTATGGCTGTAGTGTGGAGGGCGGTGACTGCAGTCTACCGGCTTCTTGATTTTGGCATTTGATAGAATTTTCAAGCCCATGTCCTGATAAGGACCAAAGAGACCATGAAGTGTGAAGTGTGAAGGGGGCTTTACCTTACGACCAGACCTCAAAGGTTTGAATCAAAATATCCTTTTGTTACTAATGGCGAGACTGGTGGTTATCACCCAGCATCGAGCCACGGAGACCAGCCTGCTTATTAGGTCACTTGTGGTCTGGGTGTGCAGCTCAGTGACAGGAAGCATTGGGGTGGCATTCGGGGCCCTGGGTTCCATTCCCCCAAACCAGGAGGAAAGGAAGATAACATTGCCTGAGACTTCAGTGTGACTAATGAGGCCTAACCAGCTCAGCCTTGAATTCATTAAAAATCAAGATGCTTATGCTTCTCCCAAATGTCACTGTGTCCTCAGTGTTTGGCTTCTGAGGGCAGAGGCCATACTCAGTCCTACGAAAACACGAGTGTTACAGAAAGGCCAGCATTAGAAAGAACACTCCGATGAAGAAGACATGGCCTCTGACCTTGGACATCTCCCGGTCGGGCTTGGCTCACACAGCATCCCAAGCCCTGCTCTTGGAACGGGTATAAACTGTTTTCTATGACAATACAGGCCTCCGGGTTACCGCTCCCACTGTTCTTTCTCTCCCACAAGTGTCACCTGTGGGGGCCATGGAAACAGTTCTAGGACAGCCTCACACAGTGTTTTGTTGTTGTTGTTGTTGTTGTTTTTGGTTTTTCGAGACAGGGTTTCTCTGTGTAGCTTTGGAGCCTGTCCTGGAACTCACTCTGTAGACCAGGCTGGCCTCGAACTCACAGAGATCCGCCTGCCTCCGCCTCCCGAGTGCTGGGATTAAAGGCTCGCGCCACCACTGCCCGGCTCACACAGTGGTTCTCTGAGCAGTCAAGTTCTCCAGGGAGAACAGCCTACAGGTCAGAGCCTCTCCCACATCCTTCCTGCCCGCATGAGCCGCTCTGCTCTCTTAGAGGTGGGGTCCCCTTCCCCTGTTCCCACTCCATCGTTTTCATTGTTTTCACAGAAGCGTCAGGGCATCCACCTGGAAGAAACTGAACAGGTCCGCGCCTTCAGAGTGCCAGGGTCTCCAGATGATGGAATGCCTGCTCAGTCCCCCTCTGGGCACAGGATCGATGAGGGGTCGAGGAAAGTCCCATGGGCCAAATGCGGGGCACTCATCATACTCAGCCACTTGGTAGGGGTAAAAATTGTACCAGAATGGGAACATCCCATAGACCTGCGATGGGGGGAGGGGAGAACAAGCCCAACTCAGTACAGCCGGTGGAGACCACGCCCACTCTGCGGCCACGGCTCATGCTGTCTTGCTTCACTTGTATGGATTCTTCTGTTTATTCTGTGGTAACCTCTACAGCACTTTCCCGGGTCCTCATACTTCCTGTTTCACCCCTCTCCCTTCTCAGCATCCATATTACTGTGTCCTTCAAATACCTTTAGTCCTTCTTCCTCCCACCTCCCTCCCTCCCTCCTTCCTTCCTTCCTTCCCTCCTTCCTTTCTGGCCTCACTATATAGCCCAGGCAGGCTACGAGCCGACAGCCTCAGCCTCTCCAATGCTGGCATTACAGGCGTGTGCCACCACCACACAGGGCTCTACTTTCAAGTCCTTCACAGCTTTCCCAGCACCTTTCATCGGGCTCTTATTTCCCTAGGACTCCTGCCCACTGCCATGCTCTGGTGCAGCTGAATTGATCTCTCCATCATCTCCTGGGCCCCACCCCTCCCAGACCACTCACAGAGCTGTTGCTCAGCTCCCTCTCGGGCCTGAGGAGCAGAACACTCTCATCCACAGCCCGGACCGCACACAGGGACCCAGGTGCGGCCTGCAGCTGTAACTCCACGTCTGCTCCTGGGAGCTGCTGGGAAGGTGAGAAGCCAATGGAGACCTGGGCAAGAGAAAGGTATGCAGTGGGGATCCAGTCATCCTGGACAGCAGGTGAAGCAGAGGGACCTGGGTCACCAGCCAGCAAGCCTCTGCCTGGGATCCAGCCCGTTCCATCACTGTTAGATGATTGATAAGACACATTTCTGTGATACTAGAATGCTATGACAGAGATGGAAAATGTGGGGAGACTGATCAAGTTTAGAAGAAGAACCTGGGGGACGGGGATATGTGGCCAGCTGTGGTGGCACGTGCTTACAACCCCAGCACTTGGGAGACAGAGGCAGGAGGATTGCTGCAAATTGAAGGCCAGCCTGGGCTACATAGCAAGGCCTTGTCTCAAAAATAAAGAGAAGAGGAGGGAAGGAGGGAGGAAGGGAGGGAGAAGACGGGAAAGGAAGGGAGAGAAGACTGGAACAGAGGGGGAGAACGTGCCTTCTGGGACAGGCTCTCCCTGTAGTTTAGACTGGCCCTGAACTCACATCATCTTACCCACCTCCAGCTCTGCTGTGACTTTAGGAGGGGGAAAGAGAAGGAGGAGGAGGAGGAGGAAGAGGGGGAGCAGGAGGAGGGGGCGTTGGGGAGACCAGTAAGGGAAGGGGAAGGACCAGAAGGGGGAAGAAAGAGATTTCAGCATAGCTCTAAGACACTGAAGACACAGTACGGTGTGACCATCGACTTCCATGTGCTCTTCAGACTGCGCTGAACTTGCTGGTCCCCAACTCCATCACACACAAGAACTTTCTCCTCCAGTTACTCTTCACTGCCACCTTACCTGGTTGTCAAAGCACATCTCCACAGAGAACTCAATTTTGTCAGCTATGACGCCTCCGCTGGGAAATATGGTGTAGATGACGAGGGAGGGGGAAGGGGCCATTCTGGAGGTGAAGGTCAGCGAGATGGAGAAGGAGCCTTTTGGTCCTGAAAAAGAAGACAGGCAGAGGAGCAAGGCTGCACACCCACCTGCACGGCTCTTCTCCAGTGTCTGGTGGGGCCTCAGGGTCCGCGCCGCCCCCCTTTTCTCTCCAGTGTCTGGTTGTTAGCATCCTTCTCCAGTCACCTCCGTGCATAGGAACTCTTCTCTAGGATTGCCCACATCTCCGTCTCCCAGAAGCATGCACACTCACCTTTCTCTTTAACCTTCAGCTGCTTCTGCCCTTCCCTCTGCAAACTCCCTTTCCCTGTTACCTACGGAAGAGAGAGAGAGAAAAAACAAACCCAAAGCTCAGAAGTCAGTTCCCTTCCTCTGGGCCCCCTACCTGAGGAGCATGTCTGCATCCCCATGGTGAACTGCAACTCTTTGCAGGCTTCCTGAGACTGCACAGTACCTCACCTAGCAGCTGTCTGCTTACCAGATAAGGCTGCCTGCCCACAGGTCCTGAGGGCTCTTCTCCAAGTGGAGCCTTGGCTGAGAGCCAGAAAGAGGGTGGAAGAAACAAAGGACAGACGGCATTTAAAAAAAAAAAAAAAAAAGAATCCCTCACAGCAGAAGTCCGGGATTTCTCTAGGATCTCCAAACTTTATTGTTTTATAATCCTTGTAGCATAAAGTCAGCCAAAAATCCATCATCACAATCGTTCTTTATTACAGTTCAATTAGGTGAAAATGAATCTTACACTGTCCAGAGCCGATCTGGCGGCATCTGGCTCATGGAGGAGAATGCTGCTACTTCCTAGGCACTCCCTGCGTGCTCTCGCTTGAAAGAGAAGCCCTGGCTTCTGTCAGCAGGCAGGCAGCCCTGCTCCTACCCAGTGCTCGCTGCCCTTTCTCAGCCACCCAACCTGATTCTCAGAGCTCCTCGGGCCCAGCCCCCCCAGCCTCTTGTCCCACCCCTGTCCTGAGACCCCTGTCTATTTTCTCACTGTGACTTAGTTTCTGCACGCCCCTCCCTATTCTGCTGGGGCAAGATGGTTGTTTACAGCTTGCTGGAGACATGAAATGACAGAAGTAACCGGTATGATCCAGAGGAGAGACAGTCTCAGAAACTGAGAGAGAAAGGGAACAAAGACTGTCTCTGGGTCATGCCTCCTAAGGTTTATTTGCGTCTGGTTCCTTTAGTCGCCGTGAGTGGCCAGTAACTTGCTTATCTTTACACACTACTCGCTGTCCACCAAATGGGGGTTTTGCTTCCCCACCGAGGCTGCTGTTGATGTCAACTTTCAGTTTATAACATTGCTTTGAATATAGTCCAGAAGCTGGGCACGCCTTTAGACCTAGCACTTGGGAGGCAGAGGCAGGTGGATCTCTGTGAGTTCAAGGCCAGCCTAGCAGAGCTAGTTTCAGGACATCCAGTGCTATACAGAGAAGCCCTGTCTTGGGGTGGGGTGGGGGGTGGGGTGGGAAGGATATAGTCCAGGGCTGGCAGGATGGATGGCTCAGTGAGTAAAGAAACCTGTGAAGCCTGAAGTCTCTACATGTTTAACACACACACACACACACACACACACACACACACACACACACACACACGCACTACAGTGTGCGTGCGTGCGTGCGTGCATGCGTGCGTGCGTGCGTGCGTGCGTGTGTGTGTGTGTGTGTGTGCGTGTGTGTGTGTGGCAGTGAAGGACTAGGGTACAGCTCAGTGGTAGAGTGCTTGCTGGGTTCAATCCTCAGCACTAACAAAAAAATCAAATTAAAAACTGAAACACAGAAGGACGGCGTTTCTGCGTCCCATATTCTCTCTCCCTCCCTTCCCACTCACTCACCTCGCTGCAGCCTTGGACTAACCATTTTCTCCGTTAATTTCTCGTTTTGTTTTCCTACATAGTCACAATGGGTTTTTGTTTCAAACCAAACCAAACCTCTTTGTCTGCAATCCCCCATCCCTTGCTGTATTTCAAGACAGTGCAATAGAGCTGCCGGTAGGTGTGTGCAAATGCTGAACACGTCACAACGTCCAGGCTTCCGTGATCACTAAAGTGCAGTGAATTGTAACTGAGGTATGCTTTAAGGATTAAATGTGTGCTGCTTGAAAGCCTTAGTTGAAAAAAGACTGCGGAAAATCTTTTATTCCTTTGACTTTTCGATACTGGCTCTTACTGTGGTGCTCAAACTAGCCTTGAACTCGCAAACAATCTTTCTGCCTCTGCCGTCTTGATGCTGAGACCACACGCCTATCTGGATTTTATTGGTTGTTTGTTGAGGTGGGATTTCATGTAGCCCAGACAGGCCTTGAACTTCTGATCTCCTGCCTCTACCTCCTCAGTTTTGGGATTCTAGGTATACACTACCATACCCAGCTTTCTGGTGTCTCAACTTTTTAAATGTGTCTCTAAAATTCAGCAATTCCACACATGTCCTGCATCCAGGCATCTGTCTCTCCTCTGGCTGACTCTCTCTCGATGCTCTTTTACAAGCCCCCATTTCCCAACTCACATAGTAGGAGAAGGTGACTTCTTGGTCTGGGCTTGCATCCTCTGGATCAATGGAGTAGTCCACTAGCACCTCCTGGGTCTGACCACACCTCATCAGGCCATTTGGCCGCCGGATGCCCAGGAAGCTGCGGGTGGTGTTGTAGAAGGGACGCAAGTACAGATAGGCATTTTCGTAGTAACGAGGTACTTCCTTTGGATTATATTCCACATCCTCTAGTTGGAACTTGCCCTGGAAGAAACAGAAGAGAAGAGGAGGAGGAGGAAAAAGAAGGAAGGAAGGAAGGAAGGAAGGAAGGAAGGAAGGGAGGGAGGGAGGGAGGGAGGGAAGGAGGGAGGAAGGAAGGAAGGAAAGAGCAATGTGCACTCCTAACCACAGAGCTCTTTCTCTCCAGTCTTCACTTCCTGAGAATGACAAATGACAAGTGGGCATTTTCCTAGAGGCCCAGCCAAGGACAGATGGGGAATGTCAATGTCAAGGACAATGGGGAACTACAAAATGATGTGTGCAGGAACATTGTGATGTAGAAGACAAAGGCAGAAAGAATGAATTTTAGTTGTCAAGTGATGGGCAGTTGTGAGTGATATGCCTTCCTAAGACCGATGCCAGTTGGGTAGATAAGCATGACCAAGTTTATATTTCAGGGATAAGAAAACTAGGTATAGAGGATGAGGAGGTTGAAAAAAAGTTATTTCTGAATGCAATGGTTGACTGAAGCCTAGAATAAATATCTAGTTAAGTTAGCTACAAGACAAATTGTATGTGCTTGCTTAAACAGTGCTGCTGAATGACGTCACAATGGCCGCGGTCTGTCATATTCCTGTACCAATATTTTTCACCAAGTAATTGCATAGCATCCTCTCTGGCTGACAATGTGTCAGCAATAGGATGTTAGCACACGCTAACCAGCGACTTGGAAAA